CACCCTGTAGATATTCCTCATGGTTGGAGGGCTTGCTTCCTGCAGATGGGACTTGTATGTCAGTGTGTCTGTTCTACATTTCCAGCGTAGTCCCAAAGCAGGCTCCTGTGGGTCCATTTGACTTTGGTTGAGCCACTGATCACTATCTTGCGACAGTATTTCTGGGGGAAAGTGTCTTATGATCTCTGGGATGTTACTTGCCCATTGCCTTAATTCAAATCCTCCACTAACCAGCAGTTCTCTCAACTTGTTGACCAATGATTTGGCTGCCTCAGGGGAAGAGAAGCTCTGGAGCCAGTTATCCACATAAAAGTGTCTTTCGACAGCATCACACACGTCATCTTCTTCCTGTCTGTGGTCAGTAACATGCCTTTGAAGCGCGTATGTTGCACAGCATGGGGAGCAAGTTGCCCCAAATGGCAGGACTTGCCATTCATACACACTAGGCGGACTGTCTCTCTGCATATTACGCCACAGAAACCGTAAGAGTGGTCTGTCCTCAGGGAGTAGCCTCACCTGATGAAACATACCTTTAATGTCACTGCTGACAGCTGTTGAATGTTCTCTGAATCGCAGCAGGACCCCAAGCAGAGAGGAGCTCAAATTGGGACCAGGCAGGAGCAGTTCATTCAAATTGTTTCCTTGATAGGTGAAGGAACAATTAAACACTATTCTGTTCTTCGCATTGTGAGTCACCATATGATGCGGGATGAACCAGGACTCGTTAGATGACTCCCACACCTCTTGATTCACTTTTGTGGCATACCCTGCCTGTTCAAGTTTCTGGATTTCGGAGTTGTATGCTGTGGCACGAACTGGATCACGGAGGAGGCGCATCTCTGTACTCCTTAAGTTAGCAAGGACTGCAGTTGGTGAGACAGACAAAGTTGGCATAGACTGCACTCTTAGTAAAGGTGTGGCATACCTTTGTACTCCATTTACGTTCACTCGAACTGTTTTTGTCTGCAAGAGTTCCACTGCACTCTGATCCTGTCGAGACCTGGTCACCAGCTTCTCATTCTTGTATGGCAAAACATCGAGCTGCCAAAGCCTTTCCACATGGTGATGCAGCTCAGCTGATGGGGAGAGTGTTGCAATGAACAGGCATGACTGAGTTCCATTTTGCAGTGGTAAGCACTTAGTAGGGCCTTGAAGTGTCCAGCCAAGTCTCGTCTTAACTACCACAGGACCCCCAGGTGGTCCTAATCTTACTGGCTGGATTGGGGTTATTAAGTGCGGGAAGTCTGATCCAATGAGAAGAAGGGGTTGGGCACATTTGATTTCTGGCAAGGGCAATTTTCTCAAGTATTTGTATTTGCGTTGCAATCGTTCCACTGGGTACGTGTGCTCCGCTAGACCCAACTGGTCTGCAGTAAAAGCTCCTCCGATCTTATAAACTCTCTCGGGTTGGCTGGCTGGTGAGATAGTGAAGGACACCGAAGAACCTTGTATCACTCGTAAGTCTTGTCGCACTGTTCTCAGTGTGAGGCTCTCTGAGGGACCCTGGAGTTTTAACTTCAGTGCTGCCTCCTGGAGGAGAATTGTTCGCTCTGATCCATCATCTAGGATAGCGTAAGTTTCCAGGGTATGATTTCCGTTCCGCAGGAGAACTTTACTGACCTTGAGGAGGACTTGGTTGCATCCAGCCTTTCTGTCCAGATAAAGAATGTCAGTAGAGGAATTTACAAGTCCACAAATTGTTTCAGCACTGGCTTTCTCCTCTTTTGACGGTTCTCCTGGTTTGGTGTTAACATCATGAAGAGCATTCAGATGTTTGCCTTTACAGGTGCTACAGCTGACTCTCAGACGACACTGTGCTGCTTGGTGGCCGCGGCCACATCTCCAACAGCGACCGTTGTTTATCACCCACTGTTTCTGCTGCAGTTTAGTGAGATATGAGAAGTTAGAACAGTCATCAAGATTGTGCAGGTTATTACAGCAGTAAGGGCAATACAGTCTGGACTTCTCAGGTAACTGTGAAGGGATTTTCGCTGTGGAAGATGCTTCAGAAATAGTTTGTGTAGAGCCCAAGAGCACAGTCATTGGCCTGTTTCTTCCTTTACCATCTTTCCTGTGGTCTGTTTGCCTTTTAGTTGCATCTTTGTGAGTCCCTATCCGATCAAAATTTTGCCACAGGTGAAAGTAAGCATGATATTTTTCATATTCAGTTGACTTAACCTGCTAATACTAGCAAGCCAGTGCATAATAAGCCTGTTAGTTTCGCCTGAAATTATTTTCATTACATTTATTCATTTGGCAGACGCTTTTATCCAAAGCGACTTACAATTGAGGAATACAACAAGCGATTTACCATAAGATGGCAATAAACACGAGAAGTGCCCGTTATACAAGGCTTTAGTCTTCATTCAAAATAGTTAAAGCTAAGACAGGAAGGGATAAGGACAATAAGAGAAGAGATGAAGTGAAGGCATTGATTTTTATTTATTTTTATTTATTAATTTATTTTTATGAGGGGGCAGTTAGATGCTCACAGAAAAGATGCGTTTTCAGTTGTTTCTTGAAGATTGAGGGATTTGGCTTTCCGGATAGAGTTGGGTAGGTCATTCTACCAACAGGGTACAGTGAAAGAGAACGTCCTGGAGAATGATTGTGTGCTTCTCGCCAATGGGACCACAAGCCACAGCTTGGTTACCAACCGCAGGCTTCTGGAGGGGATGTAGACGCTTAGGAGCGAGCAAAGGTAGTGGAGCTCATGGCCGTTCAAGCACCAATGACTTGAACTTGATGCGAGCTGCGATTGGTAGCCAGTGCAGAGAGATGAGAAGTGGTGTGACATGGGCTCTCTTGGGCTCATTGAAAACAAAATTCATCTACATCTTGGATGGCCTTATTATGAGTATATTTTCAGCAATTTTTCATTTTTGGGTGAACTATTCCTTTAATGTAACAATTGCCGTTTATTAACTTTTACAGTGTAGAGAACTCTGAAAAAAATTGTATGATAGTCATAAGAGACTGAAGGGTGTGACAAGTTTGGTGGATGTTTGATAAGCTATTTTTAATAGTCCTAGTGATCCATTTTTTTCAAATTAAAGTTCATAAAGCAAAACAGGAAGTGTGTTTTCAGCAGGAGTCTTCATTTTAAGTTATTGGATGTGGAGGATGTTATATGAACAATTCCAAGGTCTCCTGCATTAAAGTTAATTTCCTTGCGCTCCTGAAGCACAGACATGTCATTTACACTGATGCAACTTTAATATCCTCCCTGAAAGTTAATGCTAAATCAGTATATAAAAACCTCAGCCTTGCTGGAGAGAACATTGTGAATCTGAATGAATCTTTTGTCTTTGAGTCACATCACTAAGTAATGGAGTGTGAAAAAACTGATTGTGACGCAGGTTGGAAGTAATGAAATATTAACTGTTGAATATTGGTAAGTGATTGGGATCACTATATCCATCTGGCTCCTGGGAAAGTAATGTTGGGGAGTCCAACGGTCATGTGAATTTCACCCTGACAGTGTACTAATCAAAAATGATATCAACAACCGCAGATACCCTCTTCCATGGCACCCATCTCTATGCATTTCAAATTACTTTCCATTGTCAGATATCAGTAGCCGTTTAAGGTTTGTGTGCAAGCTGGAAAGCTGTTGGCTTCTCCATCCAATCCATTAATGTTGTAAATTAAATCTATCTTTTTTATAAATTGCTTGTGTTCCCCTTGGTTTACTTCCACTCTGTCTCTGGACTGTAAAGCTTTCCAGAGAAACAAGAAAAAAAAGATTAATTTAAACCCCATACAAAGTACACCTAATTAATTCTATGTTATTTTTATTAACTGTATGCTGCTGCTTTATTGCTTTTTCTTGTCAAACTAAAACACTATGCGGTATCTTAGCTCATAAAAAGGTTATTATTTTATGTCAGATCTTTAATTCTGCTTGTAAAACACCTTAAAGTGGTAGTTCACCCATAAAGTGGATAGGAAATAGAAACAGCTCCAGGAGGACAAAAACTATAACAGAGTATGATTTCTGAAATCATGTGATACTGATATTTAGTGATTATTTGTCATTTTAGGTCTTAAATGTCCCTCATGTTTTAACACATCCAAACATGAACAGTCTGTCTAAAATGTGACATATTCAAGACGTTATTGAAATACATTGTATGAAAAACCTTTTATGCAAAAACGTTTGTATGCAAAACTAAAGTGTGTTCTTAGGACACTATAGGTGTAATGAAGTATTACTTTGTGTTGCTAGTTTGGAGTTATGATCACTGTGGGGCATCTGTTAGAATGCACAAGTCTTTGTTCTCCATTTACATTCTCTTTATTCCAGCTTGTTTCAAGTTACAGGTGGATAGAGATGTGGTTCTACATAAAGAAATAACAGATTTCTTAGTACAATCACAACAAGCATTAATCAGTATTAAAATTACAGTAAATGATTACTAAATTGCCTTGTAACAATAACTATTTCTAATTGGCGATAATAGGCACAAAGGAAACTATTCGAAAACAATGTCTAAAGAGCACGATGTATTTCACACCATATAAGTCACTTAAACAGTAACAGTAACAACAATAGTTACTAATCCTTCTTATAAATCAAAACAACAAAGTTACATTTATTCAGCAACAGTTAAATGCAAGATACAAATGTCCACGTTAAGTGTATGCATCGCAACTGACAAAGTGCTGAGTCATTCATTCATCCGACGGCAAATAGTAAACGGCTGAATTCTGGTAAAGTTGCTCATCAAATGTATGCATATAACATGTAAATATGATAATACTTACAATTCTTTCTGCACGCACAAATCCACTAATGCAAGATTAACTGCATAAATAACACTAAAGAGCTGATTTCCTTCTGCCTGTCGTTCCACTGCAAACTAAACAACTTCCGCCTAAGAACGCAATAATACTTCAGGCAGTTATATGATAAGACAGTCTATTAGCGCCCCCTACTGGACTGACCCACACTTTCCTTTCCAACAGTTATATTTTTTCTGTTTAATTTATTTTCCTAGATCCTCCAGAATCAGTGTTGATCATTCCTGACAGTCCAACAAATGCCAAAGAATTCATATGTATAGTGGATAGTAACCCAGAACCACACGACTACATCTGGACTAGGTAATAAAAGCATGTTTTGCAAACAATTCACAGTTCTTTTTGGGGGGATGTGTATAACAGATTGTGCCTAATGAAGAGTTACTTAGTGTTACCAACTTACCACTGACAGTTCTGTTATCTAACTGCAAAAAAAACATCAGTTTAAATAAACTTTTGATTGGAGAAGCCAGCACTGAATGTTTGAATCAGTTTACTTTGACTTTACAGGAGCTAACCATTTTTAATACCTTCACAAAGCTGACAAGATCTATCTGATGAAAATACAGCACTTTAAGGCACAAATTGCATAAACGTTGTATATTGTGACTAAACTATCAAGCTCAAAGGTTCTAGGACTTTACTACCATATCGGGACATATTTCTGTGTGAAATGGCTTGTCAAGCAAGAAAAAACAAAGGACAGGACTTGATTTTATTCACAGTTTGATGATTGGATTGTGAAAAGTGAGCACTGCATACACTGCATACTGCATGGGGGCAGATCTGAATGTGATTGCAAAACTGCTACATTGACATGTATACAAGTGAATAATTTACAATAAGACCAGTAACATGCATTTAGAAAATAAATAGGGTAAATTTTGTTTTCGTTCCGACTTACTTTGTTCTTGAAAAAGCATCTGCCAAGTGCAAAGGTTATAGACCTAGATAGATGCATGAACGTTTTGTATGTTTCGGAGAGAAAGACAGATAGATGGAAGGTTGAGGTGTTGGTGGGTGGTTGTTTACTACTTGAATTTTCCAGATGTTATCTAACTATTTTTTATTATTTTACAGATATTTTGCCCACTGTACATCATGTGTGCTGTCATATACTAGAAAAACATTGATCTTTCATATGTCTCTATTTTAACAGAAAGAATGGAAGTGCTCCCTATTATGAAGGCAACAGGCTTCTTTTCCCAAAACTGTCCCCCGACTTTAATGGCTTGTACATCTGTTTTGCTAAAAACAAATATGGAAGTTCATTAGGTTCTCTGTATGTCAGTGTTCATAATGGTGAGTCTATTTTTGTTTTTATAGTTTGTTATACTGTATGTTATAAACTGTTATGCTATGAAAAATGTACAAAAAAAAATTCACAGCTGAATTAAAACCTCCCTTTTATTTCAAAAATAATGGAAAAGGTGGTTGTTTTCCATCTATAGACTTACTTGGCTGAAAATAATACCTCAGAGCCATTTCAGTCTGGCTTTCACTCTTTACAGCACTGAGGCTGCTTTTATTGTGCGGGGTAAATGACATGATAATGGCGTGTCGTCTGATTCTGAAGCACTTAGTCTACTGATTCTTCTTGAACTTAGTGCAGCATTTGACACTGTCAAAAATAACTTCTCATTTACCTATCTTATATCAGTACTGTGAAAACTGCTATGAAATGAATCCTACCTCTGTGATAGTCAGTCTGCCTATATCAATTCCATACTTCAGTAACTGGGTTCCAGTTTCCCACTGTATACAGTTTAAAATGTTAGTCATGGTCTTTAAGGTATGCCATTGTAAGGCACCAACTCATCCTGATCAGTTGCTCCACACTTATACACCTGGGCACGCCCTTCAGTTTGCGGGAGGTAAACTACTCACCGTACCAAAGTTAAGGCTGTCATCTATTGGGGTGAGAGCTTTTAGTATCTTTGCCTCTAAACTTTGGAACAATCTTCTGAAATCTCATCTTGAAATCTCAGACTTTCAGTTTTGAAAACTCACCGTTTCACTGTTATTATAATGTTTCTGATCTGTAACTCTGTAATGCCTTTGCTTTAATATATCTGCATCTTTGCTACATTTTGTTCTGACCTGTTGTTATTTGCATTAGTTCTGATATTGCAATGCTGTTCTGTAGTAATTGTTTTGCTGTATAATCTATTTCTATTCTTGTAAAGTGACCTTAAGGTCTTGAAATGCACTTATTATTATATAAATTATATTTATTATATAATTATTATATTATATAATTACTTATTATTATATAAAATATAAATAATTATTATTATTATTATTAATTCTGGACTTGGAAATCCAAGATAAATCGAATAAACCCATGTCTGTATAAACAGATTGTTCAGCCTTTTCAGAATAACAGTAACATTGTAGAAGTGTCTCTCTCTGTCCTTCTTTCCTAGAATCCAGCACCGTCTGTTGGAGTCTGTTTGGTTTTCTCATCTGCTGTGCTGTTCTTGCTGCTGTTGTTGGTGCGATATTCAAATTCAAGCCGTGAGTTTGAACATTTGATTTGTCTCAGTGTGATGTGAGGGTTTATAGTTTCTGTATATTATGTTTTAGTTTGTTTTGGGTTTTAGTCTAAACTTAGTACAAAGTGAAATTTTCCAGTGATAAGCTTTTTGTTTGACACAATCATAATACATTTGATGTTTAATGTGCAGATATGAGGGGTTGGATTTTAAACCATTCAGAATGGTAAATACAGTATGTGCAGTATTTTTTGTAATTTATTGCCAAGGCAATATAACACAAATTATATATACATAAATTCACAATTTTAGATTTGTGGAAACATGTAATCTCAGTCTGTTAAAAGGGTTCATAATTTATAAAGCCTATATTGCAGGGTTCCTCAAATCTGGACCTGGTGTCCTGCAGAGTTTAGCTCAAAACCTGATCAAACTCAGCCTTCTGTAATTTTGTAGTAACAATGAAGACCTTCTCAAAGGGAAAGACATGGTTGCATCTTTCCTAGTCCAGTCCTTCTGAGGTTTCAAGGATAGAGTCCTACTCAGCATTAAACACTAGAATGAAATGCTCTAGTAAGTGCGCATGGCTATATGTCATAAATGTTTTCGCCCTGCAGTCATGGCATGAAAATAATTTTTAAATTGTAATTTGTAGAAGAATATAAAAGAATACTTTTAAGAATTTTATATATATATATATATATATATACAGTTTAGCATTATGTGATTCATTTAAAACTAAACAAAAGACGTCGGTCATCCGACGTGACGTCTCCGTTCCCTCCTTCAGGGAACGAGGGTTACCATACGTAACCGAGACGTTTCTTGCTGCAAGTGCAATAGGCCATAAGTTCAAATCTTGTTCATCTGACATATTCTTTTTTTAAAGTGCCCTTATGAAATGTTTATAATTTGGTTTTTGATTGGTCCGATGACCCAGTCTGTTGTGATTGGTCTACTGCGTACAGCACATGTCGGAAATGCCCATCACCAGTACTGGAATACGGCTTATCAATAATTCATCCTATTATAATAATAATAGTGCTCTGTTCTAAAATTAAGAATCGGAGTGGAAAAAGTTGTTTTACACTTATGTTAGTGAACCAGACCCACATCTTGGTAGTAAAGACCCAAACAATAATGGTATATGCGTTAGCCGAACACAGACATAGTGTACTGATAAAGCACTGCAGTTTGTAAACCAACGTATTGCTCCATCCTTTATCTTGACTCCAAGTACAACAGACATTCTATATTAATCAACACATTTCTAGACAATAGCAGGCCCACAGCTGATTAGCAGAACTATAACGTGAGTTAGCCAGAGACTTACAGCTGCACTGAATGTATACACAACACAACACATAAAAATATATATTTTGCACGCTCGACAGAACATCAAAGCAACAATTATTAATCATACTTACAGGTTGTGATTCAGAGGAACAAACTGTTCCAAACAAACTGGGCACTGACCCATCTTTCAAAGACAACCGGTTTACGAATCCTGCATTGAACTCGTGGAGATTGGAGATGCAGTCGTCAGTGTAATGACGGGAACACAGCAAAAGGTTGTGATTATAGGCTACTGCTGTGGTATCTTAGTAAATATGAATGTTAACCACTGATTCTTCACCAGCTCATCCTTTGGAAGTGAAAATAAACCGAATTCACTGTCACAGCACAGTACGGTGACCAGGAAGGGGACATGTTCACTTAGTTTTGTCACGGCCACGTCATATTAACGAGATCATTTTGTCGAGGTAATGACATCCTTATGTCATGACCACGCGATGTGAAGTCGTGGCCTTGAGATCCTCTGTTGAGGGAACAACATCCATTTCTCATGGCCACGACTTCTTATGTTGAGGGAGCGACATATTTTTCTCGTGGCCATGAGTTTAATGTGTAAACAAACCTGCATGACCATATGAACCTGCGATTATCAGATTATTATAAAACATTTTTATCCATCCCAGTCTTGTAAATTCGTTAACTGATCGTGTCTTTTTATTTAATATTTGTATATTATTCTTTTATTATTATTATTAAACTGTAATATGATAATATTATAATAATATTATTATATTAAATGGTTAGGGCTATATTTTTATATTTATTGTTGTATGTCCCCTTTCAATTCATGTATCAATTTACCTAATTAAAGTTCTGTATAGTTATTATTAATATGCTACCATATATATTGCAAGTACTGTAAACGCCTGACAATTAAGTCAATAAAGTTTTGACTTTATGATTGTATTTACGCCCGTGTGTGACTTTAACTTGTTGGCTGTGTAGTCAAGCACACAATGAAGTGGTAAAGTTCAAGAGAGTATTTAATGCACATTTTAGGAGTAATCCAAATGTAAATCCATTCCACAACACTACAAACCAACATCACCAAAACAATACCAGTCAGAGAACTGAGGGAAACAGAGGGCTTAAGTACAGGGGAGAACACAATCAGGAAGAAACAGAACAGGTGTGGGGCTAATTAACAACCAATGAGACTAATGAATTACTAAGGGAACAGATTAACCAGGGAACTAATGGAGGGGAACAGAAATACAGAGAAAACCAGATACGGCGTTTGAAGTTTGTTTTCGCGGGATGTCCACGCAGAGCGTAGGCGCCCATTATGCCAATGTAAGAATTTGTGACGTGTGTAATTCGCGGAATGGGATTCGTATTTAAAACGACCCGTTTCAGCGGTTCTGAGTCGACTCTTTCTTTTGAAAGACAATAACTTTATTTATGATGCACTAGCTTTACAATTTACAACTTTGCAGACTGTTTACGTTCACATACCGCTGCATTACACACTGCATGAAATGTAGTTTTCAAAATAAAAGCACTTAAATAGTTAAATTTGCAAATTAAAATAAAATAAACAAATATATTTTGAACAACAGAAAATCGTAATAATGGTGGTCTGTTTGTTTGCATTTTGTTTTGTGATTTCACAGGAATGGAGAGTTTTCGGTTTAGAGACAGTGAAAGCTGTATGCAGTCAGCACTCCATCTTGAATCAGATGTCCCCAATGACCAGATGTGCCTTTGTCTAAAGAGGAGAATACTGACTGGAACAAACAAAGTTTTTAAGGACTGGTAAGAAGAGGATTCAGAGTAAAATCACCTGTTTTCAGCTAACATGAAGGGAGATGAAATACTAGATCTCACAAAAGACTTGGAAGATCTCACAAAAGACTAGAGAAACTTCCCTAAATATAAGGTATCAAATTAAATTGAAAGTAGATTTTGATTAAGTGGAAAGTACCTCTTCAATATGAAGGGGGAGTGATATTATATTTCAAGCCTGCAAAAGTCCCTTTAAAAAAAAAGCATCATGTACAGCTTCCCTTCTCCTGACATCTCCAGAGCTTGAAAATCTAGTTAAGGAAAGCTAGGGAAATTCCCTAAGAATGAATAGCATTCAATTAGGTTGCATAGTTGTCTGCGTCTGTGTAGTTTTGGCACATGACTAATAGGAAATTTAAGCAAAACACAATCGGCATGGTTCAGTTTCCTATTTTGCAGGCCTGTTCTGCTTGTTAGACAGATTTGGGAGACTAGGTAGAAACAGTATCACTCTTTGTGATCCAGGCACCTGAATCAGCTCTTTAAATTGCTAAAAATGAGCTTAATTACAAAATACATCTGGATATATGTCCTGTTATTTATTGTGTTATGAGAGAAAACTGTCATGCATCATTGGCACATGAGGCAGAGCATTATATCCTCAACAGATGTCTGTTAAACAGATATCTGTTAAAAGTGGGGTGGGGGTTGGGCTGTGGTGTAGGGTTGTGGTAATGGTTAACAGGCAGATGTTGGCTTTGGGATAACTGTTATTTTTTTCTTCCCTTTTAGTTGTCCCTCTTAATTTAAGTTTGCTTCTTTCAGTTTTTCTTTCAGTCTTTCCGGGTTTTTTATTTATTTATTTATTTCCCATTCTGTATGTGTCTTAAAAGTGAAATCATAAATTGTAGAGACTCTTAGTGGGATAGTCCACACCCACTACTTAGACACACATATACACACACAGACATCCTCCTGATACTATGCAGTGCTATAATAAGTGCATGTACTAGAGTTGGGGTACTCATGCATTTTTATGCATTTTTATTTGAACTTGACTCGTACTCGGAAAATATGTCAGAGTCCAACCGAGTCCAGGGACAGTTGACGGAAATGTCTCAATGACTTAATGCATTATCACAAAAGTGATATTCAGTATTTCAGTATATTGTCTTTAAAAGTCTTTTCGTGTGAAGTGTGCTGTAGGGTGGAACATTAGGTACAGGGGATTGACTTAATTGCAATATCTCCAGTGTCTTCAGTATCTAGCAATATCTCCAATATCTTCAGTGTCCTCAGTGATCTCTTATCCAAAACAAAACCCGCCCTGGAGCAGATGAGCTGTGTAGTCACTATGATGATGGACAGTGCTAAAAAAACAACAATCCTCCATGGACTGAAAAAATGCAAGGTCACTCCATGAGTTTGCTCATTTTAACTGGGTAGCTACTCAAACTTGCTTTGTGATGCAGGCCTCTTGTGTCAAGGTGATATTATATGAAGTGGATAGCATTTCATACGATGTATATGAAGTCTGAAAATGCAAATACTATGCAAAAACTCTGTGCTATAAAAGCTTTTATTTACAGTTTTGTGAAGGACAGATTAACATTTTAGACATAAAGATATATGGGCCTGTAATTTATCAAATACCATGCCGAATGTGCGTTTTGTAATCATTTCTATAGCCTATACACAAAAAAAAAAAACTTGAAGTTTCTTGTATGGAAAAAGTTAGTACACCCCTACATTTATCACTACTTCAAGTGCTGAACATTAAAGAGGAAAAACATAACTTACATAAACACCAGCAAACTGGTCATGTTTTCTTACAAGTCGTGCCATTTATGCCAAGATTAAAAGAGCTCCCAGAGACCCTCAGAAGAAAGGCTTTTGAAGTTTATGAATCTTTAAAGGGGTCATATGATGCTGCTAAAAAGAACAT